AATTGGAAATTTTAAATAGTAATTAAAAAAAAAAATTAGACAGAATTTTATTTCTTGTACTAAGGATTTTGTTTTGTTAATTTTTACGCATAGTAAGAATACAAAGTAATTTAATACTAATGTCGCTTATTTACAATTAACAAAGAAAAATTATTATAAGATTAAACAACATTTTATTATAAACACTTTATTAAGGATTAGTTTCATCGGACCATATTGTAATGGAAAATTACATTACTATAAAATAATCTGATATAAATAATTTTTAAATGGGTAATCAAAATACTCCAGACTAGTATTGCTATCACTAGCGACCGATACTGATACTATCGATGCTATAGATAATGTTCAAACAATATTAAAGTAGCCTACGGAAGATATCGAAAGATATCAACATTTTAGATAATTAGTATCACTTTTCAAAGCTGATACTTCCCGATATCGAATCGATACCAAATCGATACTGGTACTTAACTGAATTAGTATATACTCGATTGATACTGTAGAAAGTTATCGTAATTAAATATAAATATACTTACTTGATACTTCACGAAACTGTTGAAATTTATTTTATGTTTTGATAATTGTTGTCCGTTTGTTTAAAACGGATCTGTCGTTTGAAGCAGAAATTTGTTGTTATTCAATAAAAAAAGGTTATTGAACATGACATCGTTAAATGTGAAACTAATACCAATTCTGTTCGAAGCAATTATTTTTACATATTATTTGTTTACTTGTTCAAATGTAATTAATTTTACAAAGATATCAATATTTGAGTAGATTATCAAGGGGGTGTCTAAGTACATACATACTTCGAAAAATACCGATGATTTTGAAAAGTATCAAATAAGTATCTACATATCTATATTTTCATAGAAGTAGTGCAAGAGGTATAATTAATATCATTTAATACGATATCATAACGTAGACTGGAATCAATAGTACTGGTTCGACATTATTCCGGTGAATAATGATAGGCTTGTGAATTCCATAAGTTCGTTGAGTTAGCTTGATTTTATCTTGACCCTCCATAGTTACAGCATTTGTGCAATGGCTCGTGTATTTTGTCTTGTGTGTAGACTTTGAAATATGGCTTTATTAGTATATTTAGCATATTATTACCATGTTATGTTTCATAAATGTCATTTACATTATTATTATTTTATATTTTATATTTATATTGTACTTATTAACCGTATTATTTAATCAGATCAGAAAGTATAAATTAATTTTAACGTAATAGTAAAAGATTCGTATAAATTAATATTATCATTAAGTCAATGTCCATGCCAGCATTATAGCTGTTAAAGTTATCGTTTTCAAATTTTATGTTAGAAAGGAAAAATTCGCAACATCTGAGGAGTTGAAGAATTGTCCACGTGGATCGATCCCTATGAAAGTCTAGTGCATAGAATCAGACTTTCAATTGATTAAGATTCAAATAACATAAATTTTTCATTTTTAACCAATTATATGTAAAAACGAGGTCTCAATTTGTAAGATAATAAAAATCTTCTCAATTTGCATTTGCGTAAAAAGATGCGTTTTTTAAGGAGTGCCATATTTGTAGGACACACTGTACAGCATAGAACTATATTAAAATCTTAATTTGACTGCACTTTGAGAAACATTACAGGCACATATATTTTCATATTTATGTGAATTTTTTCTATAGATTAATAGATTTTCGTTCAATGGAAAATATTGTAATATTACAAGAAAGCGAACGAAAAATTATATGTAACTGTTCAATCTTTTTAAGATGAAATGTTAGCGAACACATGAATTGGAGTAACTGTGAAATATTTTAATTAGTTACAAAACATAAGTATTTACTTGATTGAGGACTTATTCCAGTGAGATTAAGAGATCGATTTTTTAATCTTTATATATACTTATTTACGTAACCACAAATTTTACAGAGTCAATGAAAATTCACTTACTACCTTCTGCTTTTGCGTAGCTTACTTCAAGTAATAAGTGAAGCCAACTGGTGTCGCATGTGTGTATTGCGAATAAACAGAAATTTATAACATTTCGGAAAACTGTCGTAAATATTTAAAATAAAAAGGTGCGTATTTGTTCGCTGCTATTTATCTATTTTAAAAGGTACATAAAAGTGCGCTTTATTATAGTATAAAAAATGGCAATAGTAATTTAGTTTATTGAATTTTTTTGATTATCAAATGAGTGTGCATTTTTTCCTCGTTGATTAAATATTTATTTTATGTCGTGTTCAACAAACGCAAGAAATTCTTAAACTTATTAAGATAAAGATTTCAGTGTATACGGTTTTAGAAATAATGTAATTTTTAATAAATACAAAACATTCTTGGTTATAAACCCAAACATTTTAGAATGTTTTATTAATTTGTCTTTATTTGATTATTAATTTTGTAGATGGGAGAAGATCCAGTTGGCCCAGAAAAAACTCAAACTGACTTTATTAATGAAGAATTAAATCTTAATGTGGATATAAATAATGATAAAAGTAATTCTAAAACTGAAACACTATCAAATGGTAATTCAACCGAAGAATGGATAGACATTTTGGGAAATGGACAACTTAAAAAAAAGGTGGTGAGACAAGGGAAAAATGGTACTCGACCAAATAGATCCGATATATGTACCTTGAAAATTATTGGCAAATTAAAAGATGGCACGGTTGTTGAGGAACATGAAAATCTTGAAATTCAGTTAGGCGATGTTGAAGTAATTCAGGTAATCTTTTCAAAGTTTATATTACATGTTAGTATTAAAGGCGATTTATAATAGTAACTGACAACAGTATATAAGTAATCTATATTTTTTAAGTTTATAATTCTTAGATTATTTATTACATCTCATGATAGGGATTAGATTTGGCAATTGCGCTCATGGATGAAGAAGAAGTTGCTGAAATTGAAGTAGATCCAAGATTTGCTTATGGCCATTTAGGAAATGAACCAAATATACCATCTAATGCAACTATTTTATATACAGTTGAACTAAAATGTGCTAAACTAGAAGATGAAATTGAAACTCTTAGCGCTAATCAGCGGAAAAAAATTGGGTGAATATTTTTAGTATATTTACTAGATGAATAATTTCTGTATACACTATATAAACTGTGTTAATAATTTCAATAGCTTGAAAATAAAATAAAAGTATATAAATTTAGTATTAAAATATATACTTTATCTCTATGAGTTTTATGTAATATAAATAAATAAATAAATAAATAACTATAGTTTATTAGTTATTGCAGATCTATAATATTTAAAGTATAATAAAAAATCATTTGCATATTTTGTTAAAGGAATAAAAAACGAGAACGTGGGAATTGGTGGTTTGCTCGTAATGAACCAGTGCTTGCAATTCAGTGTTATCGAAGAGCATTAGAGTTTTTATTACCATCAGAAAATCGTGCTTCGTATCAAACAGATGCAGATGATTCTACTACTGATATAGAATTGCAAGCATTATTAGAAGATTCTATGAAAGTATATAATAACTTAGCAGCTGCACAGATGAAAACACAAGCATATGATGCAGCATTGAAAAGTGTAGATAGTGTTTTGAGTTGTCAACCTCAAAATGTAAAAGCACTGTTCAGGAAAGGTATTAATATTAATGATTGTATTTGATGTTATAAATTATATAATCTAAACACGTACAAGAGATGATTCTGCACGTTAAAAAAAGACGAAAATTAAGAATAACAAGAATGCGTTTTCACCATATTTTTTTAAGTTATTGAAAATTAAAGATCCTTCTGAACTATGATAATTCACTAATAGTGTGTGAATTAGACTGATCTGGTCGTGCGGCTATTGTCCTGATTCTAGCGCCGCTATTGGTGTATTTTCAATAACTTGAAAACGAACAATGCAATTTTATCAATTTCTGATTTTCGTCTTTTACATACACAGTCATCTTGTAAGAGAATTTCTGTATGCGATGGAGCACTTTGTATGTATTTATATGTTTGTAGGAAAAATTTTGCATTACAAAGGAGAAAATACATTAGCATATCAAACATTACTGCAGGCAGCAAAATTAGAACCAGAAACAAAAGCTATTCAAGTTGAGTTAACAGTTTTGAAAGAAAAGATTGCTAAAGAGGCTCAACATGAGAAGAATTTATATCGCAAAATGTTCGGTACACATAAAAATAATATACCTTTAAAAAATACAAAAAAGGAGAGTACAACAAAAGCCGTATCGAATATTACGTGGAGCTTGATTGGCGGAGCAACTGCCGCAATAGCGGGATTTCTTTTATACAGATTTGTTTCGTGAAACAAAACTGAAAAAATTAATATAATGTGAAAAGTAAATGAAACTTGGGGAATAAACATTGTAAAATGTACTGATATATTGTTAAACGTACTACTTATATATTGTTAATCAGCTTTGTTTATAAAAAATATGAGTGTAAAGATAAGTGAGCTGTAAAAACTGGTGCTTTCATAATATAATGTTACACATAAGAAAAGGTCGTAAAATTGATCAAATTCCATTGGATCATATTATTTTATTCATTTCTAGTTCATATTTTGATCTGTACTATTTGCAAAAAACTTTCGCTATTTGTTATTTATTATACCTATGTTTTTATTGTACAAAATTTATATTCACCTCTTTGAACCAGATATTTAGATTATGTATATGCAAGAATAAAAAAAATATATGACATTAAGCATTTACATGTGTGAGTAATGTATATTTTGTGTAAATTACATTTTTATACACATCTGTCAGTGTTATACATTTTTCAGAATTTCATACAGAAGTGTTATTTATAATAAGGAGTTTTTCTACCATTATATGAAGAAAAAAATGAGTGAAGAATGCGTGTGAACATTAAGAAAAACTATACAATTACCATAATCTTCTAAATGTATGTTAAATTTTAACAAACAAGAACTATTATGAAATGTATTGCATTGTTTTTAACCCTTGATTCAGGATTGTTATTTACAATTATATTAACACGGTTGATTTTACGTAAACTTATATATATAATATATACTCGTTTAAATTACAATATTTACAAGAAAATGTGGGAAACATTTAAATGGTAATTATTTTTTTCAATTTTATTAAAGATTTAAAAATGATGGAAATGGTTGATTTAAATAACTATCCATTGGTGTAGTATCTACTTTGTTAATAGTCGAATCTACAAAAAGTGATGTTCCTTCTACAGCTTCAAAAGATAATTCAGAATAATTTGAATGATCGAAAAAATGGTGATCTGTATTTAAAATTCCATGCTGAAATTCCAAATCTTGATAACTATTAACATTCAATATTTCATTAGAACTCGTTTCAAACTGATCTATAAGATCGTTCATTGTTACAATCTTTGGGCTAGTAACTTCTACCGTGACAATCTGTTCTGCATTAATATCTACTAATGAAAGAACTTGAGGAGAAGAATCAGTAGTAGGTAATAAATTTGTAAGTTCTAATGATAGAGTTGGATTTTCATAAAGATCATTAGAATTAGGCAGTGTTTGAAATTCAAACTTCGAATCAGTATGTTCGTTAACGATATTTGTATTTGTAGAAGACAGAATCTTTTCGTTTGATGTTAAGACTATGTCGAATCCACCTTTATTTTTTACTTTTTTTGGCTTTAATTTTTTCGGTATTTCTGGTACTGGAACAAGGTGGCCATCTTCTGTTTTCATGAGTTTTACAACCTGTTAAATGTTGTATCATGTCATGTACAAATTTGTTTTTTACTTATAAATATAAGAACAAAAATAATTCGAATGCGACTAGATTTACCTTCTTCTTTTTTACAGACACAATTCTGTGACAAGTTTCCATGTGACGAGTAAGATGATGTGACCTCTTGAAAGCAGTACTACATTGCATACAAGCAAATGGTCGATACTGTTGATGAGACAATTTGTGTCTTTTTAATAAACTGTTACGTTTAAATGCTTTACCACATTCGTCACAAATAAATTGCCTTTCTTTGTTATGTACATACAGAACATGATCATTAAGTATACTAACGCTAGTGAAAGTTTTACCACACTGTTCACACACAATATTCCTTTGTTCTATATGTAACTGTTTATGCCTGTCCAAATCTGATTTTCTTGCACATTGAAATGTGCAACCATATATATCGCAGGCAAATCTTTTTTCTCCTTTATGTATACGTCTAACATGTTGATCAAGTGCTCTTTGCGAAATTAATTTTTTAGAACAAATTGAGCAATTAAAAGTATCTCTCACAGATATTTCCTTCTTTATTTTACTGAGATGTAAAGTAGATTCCAAATGGCGAGAATAATCATCTTTTTTAATAAAAGTATGTCTACAGTCAGCGCAGAAATAAATGTCTATAACAAAAAAGATGCTTTATGAGTATCGATTATACAGTTTATTTTTAGATTTCGAAAACTTACCACCATTAGAGATTTTACTATGATTCAGTTTTGAAGAATGCACAATTTTATAATGTTCATGAGCTTTCTTTTTAGATGCAAATGTAACATCACATTTGGAACATTTGTGATTTTCATGATTCTGGATATGAAGTAGGTATGTTTGTTCAATGCTAAATGTTTGTAAACACCTGTTACACTTAAACTGTTTTTTTATACAATAATGTTCTTTGTGTTCCTTATCATCTTCTTCCGTTTTTAACATTTTTCCACAGTCTGAGCAAACTTTGCCATTTTCATAACTATGCTTTGCACGATGACGATTTAACAAAGTACGCTTAGGAAAACTGCGAGGACATACATCACAAGAATGTGGATACTTTGTTACTCTTTCTCCATGAGAACGAAATAAATGTATCTCAAGATGTTTACGTCTAGCAAATTTTGCATTACAGTAAGAACAATTATTTTTCTGGTGCCCCTCCAAATGTCGATCCAAATGTCTTTTGTATCTGAATGTCATTGAACACTGACTACATGATTTAACTTGCTTATTTAGTACATCCAATCCATTGATTTTAGCTTTGTTTGGAGTAGACAATGTTATAAGTTTAGTCTCTGGATCATTATTTTCATCGTTTAAACTTTTATTATTAGTTCCAACACCATAAGATTTATCTTTAATCTGTGTAAAAATATTTTTCTCTGTTATAACAGACTTTTTTAATTTGACAGATATATTGTGATTTTTTAAATCCTTTGAATTAGTTATATTATCATTGACATTTGATAATGACTTTATATCATCTACATGAATACTCTTTGCAAGAAATGAAATAGAATTAGTAGTTACATTATCCATTATGAAATAATTTTGTATGGTATATTTATTTTTTAATTCATTTTGGGAATTAATTATATTTTGCAGAGAAATGTATCTGATTTCATACGAATTGAGATTTGTATTATTAAAATTACTTTTACAACTATTATTTACATTATTTAATTGAAATTCAGTCATTGAATTATTTTTAGGAATGGGATGAAAATTCATTTCTGACTCTTTACTTTTAAGATTGTTTACATATTCTTGCAAATGATTATAGACTACAATTTTATTATTTGTTAAAATATATTTCTTATTTGTTGCAGCATCAAATTATCCTAATGCAAAAAATATTAAAACAACACGTAAATTAAAAAAGTTAAGTATGGAGGAATTAAATGTAAATCACCAAAGTTTTAAATATTATAGGTTCTATGGATTTTTATATATAATAATACAATTTTTTATGAAATTTTTTGTAAGAAATCTTACCTGACTTTCGAATGGATGAAATGACTGTACTTTATATTGCTGATTTTTATTATTTGACATTGTGAAAAGAATTTCGAATAACGAGAAATCATGAATGTATCAGCTATATTGAAATTAATTATCTACATTGTGATTTATATAAAATAATTGCACTTGTATGTAACCTTAAAAAAATAATTACAAACGTAAAAAATTGATACGATTGAAATGTGTCTGTAAGATCCCTCGTATAAATTCTAATTAAATTACTATTCATGTCACAATAACGATATGCATTTTTTCTTTCATAATATTACTTTGCACTTTTATATTTTTTAAATCGACTAACATGGTCCATGAAACACAATTATTCTACTGTACTTCCATTTTGATTGGCTGTTAAATGCAAATTTATTCATTGAAATATCCTTTAAGAACAGTTTGTTTTATCATATATAGGTATTTACTATTTACATTAATACAAATGATAAAAAGTTAAATTTTATGTATATTCTTTTTCATTGAGAAAAATTGTATTAATAATATTTCCTCATATATCGATTCAAAAAGTATGAACTTGTTAAATACTATGTATCTATATTGTACATACATACATATATATATATATGTATATATTATGTTATATATATATATATATATAACATAACATCACAGCTTAAGATCCAAGGAGACGTCCCATGGAACGTAATTTTGTGTCTGCGGTACTGAAATACCGACATTGTCAAAAATGCTCTAGTGCACTAGCGAACTCTACCCAAGTAGAACGGTTAACTAGTGAACTACCTAAGACTGCAGCATAACAAAATATATAATCAGAAAGACTACTGTAAGCAGTGTTATTGAAGGTTGAAGACCTTAAAACCATTAAGGCTAATAACTAAAGTTGGTTAAAATTCAAATAGATTTTGTCGAAAATCAAAATATAAATCGCGAATTATTCCACTAAATAATTATGCGTTATATTCGCTGATTTATTCAGCAGTAAATATAATTTCATTTTATATTGAAATAAATATATGACAAAGTAAAGGTTGATAAGCAGAGTGAAAGATTTCAAATAATTTTTTTATTTAAGTATCACATTTTCCTATTTCTATGTCATGAAAATATTAAACGTAATAAAAGGTATATAAATTCAAAGTTCTTATGTCAACTGTATTTAAATACTCATGTATTAACAAATCTGTATTTCGATTCATGCAATTTTTAATACTTTAATGTTAATGCTTAATTATTTAATATATTTGTCAGAGTAATTGTTGAAACAAAAATACTTAATTTTTTATACTAAGTAAAAGTGTTAATTCTTTATAATAAAAATAAATTGGTTTTCCGTTTTCTATCAATTGATGTTATGTAGTATCTACTATATTATATAAACGCTTTTTCCATCGTTTAATCGTAAATATATGTATCATGCGAATTCGTTTTAATCGAGTATAATAAAACGCTCGCAATAGGAATGAAGCATACAGGAAATTCAATTTTTATTATACAGATTGTATTTAGTAATTGGACCGGATTGTAACTGGGTCGACATTGCTTAAGAAACTCTATTATCGTGTGATGTGACTTTTTATAGAAGTTAATCGGTACACTTTACACTTTTTTTTTCAAATGCAGCGTTATGATGTTTTCACATGATTCGATTTTCCGGATTATTTTGAATAAAAGAATATTAACGTGTTACTGTGAAGAGCTCAATACCATCCGAAATATTTAACTGTTTTTTACCATCCATCATAATCATTCAAAAGTTCCTCGGTCTATTTTCGGTCTGCTTATTCGATCTGAAGAAAAACACCTGAAGGATATTTCATCGAATCGAGAGCGGACTGAGAGCGGATCGAGACTTAATCAATAATGTTTATTGGGTCTAATTCGTTCTTTCATATGATCGATTTAAACAGTACAAATTTTGGTATCGCACACTTTTTTCTATCCTCGATTCTAACACAGATATTCGGGTGTTCCGTTTCTCGCGATTCACTTTGTACATAAGTACCACCATTTCTACCATCTCCTTGACCCTTCGGTTGAAAAAGAGTACTGATTTTGCGTCGTAAAACGGAATTATTGATTCATAAACAGAAAATTGGAAAGAGGAAAAAAAGTGTTTACTGCTGTCCTAGATCAATATTATCTTGAAAGTGTTATGTAAAGTGTTAACTGTTACACAGTATGTTGAAAACGCGTAAAATTTATTTCGCGTTCTCTCCGCAAGGTAACATTTGTCACGAGTCAAGGGAGTGTTTAGCGTTAAATTGTTTAGACAGTGTTAACGACAGTTTCGCAAACGACCTGGTCGCGAGAATCGACGCATAGATCGCAAGTTGCGGTCACGTTTTTACTACAAAATGACAATAGGAAAGAGTAACGAACTGTTCAAGGCCGCGCGCGCGTCTCGCAACAATTCGAACCAGGTGTAATTGTAACGCCAATTTCCTCGATATTTATTTGCTTGCATAATACTCACAAAGTCTGCATTCGTGCCACTGAACTAGGACTCTGCATAATGGATAGAACTAATCTATGCATATACTGGACAAGTATTTACACTTGACTTACTCGAAAATGTGGGCTGAAATGAAACAATTTTATTGAACGCATTTGACTAAATTTCTTACGTAAGGTTTCACTTCTTCCAAAACATTTAGTTAGAAATCATTGCGTATACAGTAATTCAATGTAGCAATTGATAAGGATTTTGAAAGAATATTCTATTTCATTTTATTTCTTAGAATACGTACGATGGAGAGAATAACTGAGTAGGATAATTCCAGGCGAGATGGATCTGCGGTCGATATGGCCAGAAATTAAAATTGTCAAATATTTTATATTTATTTTCATAAATATGTTTTATTTTTCATTCGGTATTAGTAATATTTATGATGTATTAGCTGTTTTTTAAAAAGTGGGCCATCTCTCCTCGATTTACCCTACAGGTTGTCGATAATATTATATTTTGAACATTCTGTAACATTTTGGAAGTATCAAAGTATAATTGAAGGCGAGTTTTATTATGTTGTGGACAGTATATGAAATTGTGTTCCTTGTAAGTTGAAATACACCTAAACATTGTGTTTCCAAAGCGGTAATTACAATTTTTATAATTTTGTCGATATATCGATGGCGTAGATATTTATATGATATATAACATTTTTGTAAGAATTAGCTCTTTCTTTGATTCGATAAATTCTTCGAGTGTCGCGATTACCGCCACCCACGCAAGAAACATTTCATTTTTTAGAAGCAGCTCTAAATGACAGAAGATAATTTGTTGGGCAAAGGTCTAATGATTACGGTGAATGTGGTAGGATTTCATGCTTCAATACGCCTAATTATGTTACAGTGATTCTCGATGTGCACCGTTAGGTATTATGTTACAGAGGTATGAATATACCTACGTCCATTAATGAATGGCTTATTTGTTAATTATTTTTTATTCTTACATTCATTTTCCTGTTAATAGCCTGCTATTATTTCTTTTGCTTCTTCTAGATCTGCAAAAAGCCGTAGTGAATTATAATCTTTTACAGACCATCATACTGAATTAATAGGGAATTTTTACGTAGCAGCAATTAAGTCCTTACTTTCTGTGTACATCTAGGAGTTGAATTACTATTGCCCAGAACGTTTTCAGTTGCAGTAGAGTATTCATTCCCTTCTAAAAATAGATTTTTTATTCTTTAATTAGGTTACAACGTTAAGCATTTGTAGAAATTACCGGATCAAAGAACGTTAATTTTGTGAAAAATGAAAGAGATGTGTAAGTGTTATCAGTTAGTGTCCCGTTGGGAAAAAGTATAATGCAAATTTTATTATACTTCGTAACAGTCGTCCGTTGTGCAAGGGTTTAATAACAAATAATACCCTAGATAAATCCTCTATATTATAGATATTATAAATATCTGAATAAAATCTGCCGTGAATAATAAAATGATAATTGAATGTGTGTCCCGAAGAAGGGCGCATCTTGGATTTCGTAAAAGTCACAGGAAAATGTAAGTACGATTTATAGCTCACTGTTGTAATCAGAGAAACTGAAAAACAAATGATTATTCGATAACAAGAGAATTATCTGCCAATTGTAAACAGAAAATTGCCAATTTTAAATTGAGTATGAAAACAATTGATTCTAACGATTTTCAACCTTCTTATCAAAGAAAAATCTCGTGAAAAATTCTCTGAAATATAGAAATCCTTCAGCAGATGAAGCTACATTATATATCAATTGCTTAAATAATAAAAAAAAACAGAAACCATGCTGGTCCCTTGTTATTTCAGTAATTAAATCATTTGTTTGCAACTTAGTCTTTGGAACATGAAAATTCCATCTTGCCGAAATGTCGACATTCGTCCACAAAGGGTTAACCCTTTGCACGCTCAGTCATCATTTGATTTAATACAGCAAAACTATGAAGTTGAATATTTAGTATTCTAAATGAAACTTCGTATTGCTATGTGAAATATTTAAATAAAATAGCTTTGTTGCTGAATTTATCTGTGAATTATCGTCAAATTAGTTTCAAACAATGTTATTTATATCTCGTCGGAAAGTGTTGAATATTTCTAGTGAGAAACTTTCGAGTGCAAAGGGTTAACTCAAATTCTTATAAACTCCAATTCAATTATCATTCGATTATTCGCGGCAGATTTGCAGAATAAAATTTCCGATAAATTTTTATTCGACAGGCAATGGAACGTTGCAAAATCGCGTTTGCCAGCCGGTATAATCGCGTTAGCTGTCTCGAACCGGCCAAGAGAGAGAATACGAATACACGTCCCGTTTCTAAACGAACGCGAGACCATGAATCCCGCGGTGGCGGCATCGGCATCGGCATCGGCATCGACGACGCGGCGCGACGCGACACTACGAAATCCATAGCCGCGGATAATGGAGAACGTTACACGGTTGACGCAATTTTATAAAATCATTGATTTCCAAGCACACCCGTGATGTAACGTCGCATCGCGCCGTTAGATAACGGTGTACGACCGTTTGCGCGAGTTGTCATCCGATTGAACGATGGATTGCGTCGAAGGAAAAAAGAAGAGGCGGAGGAGGAGCACGTGAAAGAAACGCGGCGTTGGAGGAGAGAAAAAGAGGCAGAAGGATTGCACAATTTGGCGCGTGATCGCAGCCTGCTGGAACGCGCGCGTAGAAACGCGATTTTCACGGTGTGCTCGCCTACCGGCAGCCTAACGATATTATTTCTGATGATTATCATAATATATATCCATGTGTAATACCTTTTTGTTAGAGGGTCTTGGAGGATTGAACGAATACAGTAGTCTCGATACAAATTACGAGTATACATAGGTGCATCAGCAGATTGCGTGTATTTATGTATTGGTTTGGATAGAGAGTTTTGTCGGTGAATTTAAAGACAAAGTATTTTAAAAGAGAAACCATTTATTTATTAACACTTATGCACTCAGCGATTCCAGTGGACGAAGTATGCCAAGTTTTTGATAGAATCAATTAATATAAATTAATTCTGTTCCGGTACGCTAATCGACTTAAAAAGTATACCCAATATTATAGTTATTACATTAAA